ATTCAAGTCGTTAATAATTACGGTTAAAAATCGTCCACCGCCGGAATGTCGTAGCTAACGGATCTAATGAACGTTTGAACGTTAACCGAACACAATTCTAAATTTATTCCGTCGCGAATGGGCAACGTTTCAATGCAATTAGCCAGACATTCTCTTCGAAAGTGCGCGTTAATAACAATGAACGAGTGAGTTATACATTATATCCAAAACATTTCACTCCCGACCGTACGAACTGGCGTCGAAAATCGGCCGCAATTATGCGAGCACGCGATTTCGAGCTGCCAGAACAGTTTCGTTTCGTTATTCGTTGGACATTGTTACGCTTGCGACAAAGGCGATCGACGGGTGAATTAATTTATTATAACTGCAGCATATTTAACCGTGGTCTCTAAAGTGATAACTTTGATCGCTTGATTGATCGAACGTGCAACCGATATCATATTTTATGATGTCATTTTAGAAAATTTGTGAAAAATTAGAAACCATGAAGACGAAAAGAGAAATTGTTGCGCGAGTGCGTGTGATGGAAAGAATGGAAGACCAAGAAAGATGAACGAAGGTAGTTTGGAATTGGATGCATGTTGTGAATGGTGGAAAAAAGGAAGATCGGATAAGAGGAATTACTTTCCAAAGTGTGACTGAAGAATAGAAACATAACTCATAGATAACAAAGTATCGTAATAACCCTGTTCACAAGGTTCAAATAAAAAATTTGGTTACGCATTGACTGGACATGAACGTATGTTATAGTTCGTGGGATGCGCCTCGGACGTGCAGGCCAGTCAGAGGGTGAATTCATTCCCCATGAAAGACACCCACTCACGTAGCTCGATGGTCCATCCGGATGCGAGACAGGATGCTCCCGTAAGTTTCTAGCTAATAAGAATCGGCGCGATGTGCTAGGAATTTTCCCCAGCGTTCTCATTCTACATTCTGTTCGACAGCACTCCGGGCTAAGGAAATTTATCTTCGGGGTGTACTTCGTTGTGATCGCCCTGTTCGCCGCGGCTCTCATCGTCATCACCGTTCTGGCCCCCATCGAGGACACGTGGGTCTCCTTCACCAACACCATTAAGAATTATTAATCTCCGTTTAATCGACGATCTAAAACGACGGGATTTGCATCGCCTGAGTCGCGCTAGAAGTTTCGAACTGCCGCGCCGCGAACACGTTCTCGAGTCGCTATCTTGTATGCAAACGAGTCTGAAAGTGACGTAAGTCATGGTCTGGAGAACTATACGCGCGAATCGTGCGACAATATTGTCCGACCACGTCCTGAAACCTGGAAAGTGGCTTTGGAAATGGAAAATGGTGTCGTTGGTGTAAGTAGCGATCGCGCGAACGTTGTAATATGTGAATTATGCTCTTACAGAGTGGCAGAGATGGGCAAAATTTTGATGTGATTAGGTATCTCGAATGGAGGAGCAGAAGTTGGAGAAAAATTTGTCTTTGAATCGTAGAAGGAAATATTTCACAAGGGATGGGAAAAGATTCGATTATGCGGGCGAATAAATCGCTGTTTGGTGAGATTATTGCTCGAGTAACATTTGAAAATTTAGACAATAGCGCGTACCAGATCTGGTCCTGAATATTATTTGAAATTTCACTGATGTAACAAATATACTTTATAGAACTTCTCTAACTAAACGTCTCTAACTTTTAAAGAAGGTTTCGATACGATTTATATAAATTATAAACGCACAAAGAATAGCAACGATATTAAAGACAAAATGAAAGTGTTATGTTCTATAGAAATATATGTATATCAACTTTCCCTCTGTAAATGACGAATAAACTTTCACATAGGGGAATAAATTCGTTGCAACAAACGATAGCACTCACCCATTTCAAAGTTTATTCGAAATACGCGTGTACTCGTTATTTTAAAATTTATTTGAAACAAATGCATACTCGTTACTTCCAAATATGTTTGAAAAACGTAGCCACCGTCTGGATCGAGTCGATATTTCAGTTATTTTTCGGTGTTTGTCGAGGGGAAATAAAAGACTGAAATATGTTATTTCAACTACTTATTTCTCATTTTAATTTCAAATGAAATTTCCACCGGTCTGGTACGTTCAATTTTATATTTCTTCCTCTTAGACTGACACGAAAACATTTTGATTCGATGAACGCACAAATTCTTCGCAGAAACGTATCCCGGCCAAAAATACCCGACTTAACTACAAGCTTACATCGAAGTGTTTATATTTTTCTTTTACTTCATGGAACGTCATTATCTTGTTTATAATCGCGATGTCGTTCGCGAAACGCCGTAATTTGTTCTTCCTCTAGATTACTGTAGAATCTAGAATCTCGTTCAGAGGTCCGTCCGCAAGGTGCTTTTATGTTTAATTAAACTTAATTTGTGCATGTGGGAAGAAAATAATAAAGTAATTCTTCTGGCGTTCACGAGCAACTTAATAATAAGTGTTGACAGGGGGCTAACGTTGAACTCGCATAACCTTATGAACATTTTTGAATATTCAGACGCACATATACGTACACTATATCCTTTTTCTAAATTTATGCAAGTATAATATTAGCTTTCTGTAACAATTTATACGCGTGAACATTACTGGTGGAGAATCGAAGATTGGTCTAGAAATATTTGAATAATTTATATAGCGAAATATAAATGAACCAGCTGGTGGTGGCCAGAAGAATTATTCTATCGCCTTTTTTACTTTTAAGTTTCTTTATTTCCAGCAAGATATATGCAGAATCTATATTTATGGTAACGTTTACAGTATTAGATTTCATAACGTATTTTTGATTTTTACACATGTTTAGATATATTTTGTACTACGATCGACGTTCTACCGTGTAAACCAGAGTTTCATGGAGCATCACGGGATCGCGCTTAATTAACTGATATAATAGTGTTATTTGTATGTTATTGATATTGTTAATAAATAAATATATATTTACGATCGCACATTGTGCAGAGAGTAATATAATTCGGTACAAATACTTCTGTGTCTCGTTTTCCATAATGATAATTGATCATCAGGTCGAACCTGCCACTAATATTTGAAGCGAGACAATGCTTGGATCCACGCTGTTTTTAAAAAAATTCTCCTTATATCGACGTTTCCCCTGATCCCCAACTTCCTCGACGTCGTCGTAATTTTATTCCTTAGCCAGCCGCTGGAAGATTTTCGTCGCTTTCAGTTTTCCGTCGGAAAAAGGATTATCCGTTTATCGTTACGGTCCTACAGAACGAGATGGCGGTTGAACTCGATTAACTGCAAGAGGCAGTTGTTAATCGGTTTAAACAGAATTTGAATTTACTTAAGCGAAAGTCGCGGGCTAAGCACGCTACCGATACTTATTTCTTTCGCATTAAAAGTCCTTGTATCCCGTTAAACACCCCCCCCCCCTCCCCCCGTCGGGCTCTATCAGATTGTAAATTTCGATTCGCGAATGCGTCGCCGGCGAATTTCAATCCTTTCGTGCACGCGTCATTGTCGAAACTGATTGTTAACTACAAATTCGAATTTGCCCGTTGATACGTTTTATTGTTATGCATATTACGGCACACCTGAATGGATGGCTCGTACGATTTAATGGAAAATCAGGCGCCCCGAACCGTATTCGTTCCGTCCCTCGATAATTTCTTTTTCAATGGGAGTACGTGGCGGGAGAATATTTTTGTGTAATTGAAAATTATGCGCGGTTCAATTTGGGTTCCATTTTTCGGTCGTGAGACGGAGGACGAATAAATAAGAATTTTTCATTCGAGTACGAGTGCATAATTAATTAACGTTTGTTTAGGTGTCTTTGTCGTATTTATTATAATTGTGTTCCACAGGATTTTTGTGACTGTTCCTCTTCTTATTCCTCTTCGTCGAAAATTTTCGAAAATTTCATTAAGGATAAGGTTATCAGGAGTGTAGCCCTACGTGTGACGAAGCGAATTAGGATGACCAGATTCTGGACATCCTGAGAACTAGTCTGAAGAAGGTAGGTGAAAAAGGTAGGACAATGCATTTGCCCGGATTCCATCGCATGTGGTCGCTGCACGAGAGTGAAACAGGTAGCGAACAAAAGTGCAAAAGAAACCACTCTTCCTCTAAAGTAGTGGTTCTCAATAGAAGCCACATGGTCCCATCGGTGGTCCACGACATATTTCTTGGGGGTCAGCAAGGAACACACGGCCATGCAATCTTTTGAAAAGTATTTTTTGTTTCGTTCATAACAAGTTAATTTTTTTTTTAATCACAATTTAGTTTGATCCTCCATCAATGAAGTTTATACTTAATCGTCTATAAAATAAAGCACGCTTTGTTTTACACGAGAACAGCGAATTGTTTTACGAACTTTTTCGATGAAAATATTTATACATAATTTAAGAAGGTTCTCGATGAACAGTGGCGATATCGTGGCAATATATTTGTTTTTATTATACTCTTTCTGTTTATTCTACAGTATTACCCGTAAATAAACAAGTAGTACGCTACGATTTTTGTCAACAAACTGCAACTATGGCCCATTGAATGTATGCAGTTTAAAAAAATATCCATCGGTTTTTAACCTACCGGAATGAAAAAGCCTTCGTTAGTTCTAGAAACATAGATAAAACATAGATTTTTTCATTTTTCAAATGACTAAAATACCTTCTTAACTCGATACGAATTTATTCATCACTATCATATCGTCGATACTCATTAAAAAATTACTCGATCAAATTCAAATTCATCGGTATTCCAAAATGGCGTCTACGATACTAATTTATTCTTCTCCCCAATGAATCCAGAATTTGTATATTTCGTTCGAAATAAAATCTACAAATTTCCGGTGGAAACCGATTTTTCCAGGTAGAAGACGGTCCTGAGCTGCGATCGGGAAACAGGGGTGGAATGTTTTCAAGGGGTTAGTAACACGGTGAAAAAAAAAATGGCGGCCGATCGAAGGCGGTGGCGTTATGACGCATGCCGCACGGCGACGCTCGAGCGTCCCTCGGCGGCGCCACCGTCGACCAACCCCCGCAGTTCGATTGGAGACACCGGCCGGCGTCGACGGCTGTTGCGGAGCTCCTTTACTCGCTCGGGTTCGCGTGTGTGCTAAACTCCTATTCGACCCACCGTACGTAGCAGTTTTCTCTCGAACACCAAACGTGACGATTAACCAACAGGTACGAACTAAACAAAGTGTTATCGCTCGTCACGCAGAGGGTAAATCGTCGCTTTTTTCCTTTCCATTCGCGTACGTTCTCTTCTGCCTTCCTTTCCTCCCCTACGCGATATTGTAGATAGTTTTCAACATTCCGGGATTGGTTAGGTCAATTACGGTAAATCGACGGTATTAAAATTGTTATTAGATTATTACGGAGGTCTAATTATCGCGCGTGCTTTTTCAACCCTTAACTACAGCCAGTCAGAGTTGTAGAATTAAAACTTGTATACGCGGGTTTCTTTGGAAATTATTTTAGTTCATATCGGCAGAGGAATATTCAATGGAAATATATAATAGTTTGAACGAACAACTCCTTTTCGTGTGGTTTTGTGATATATCTTTGGAAATTTATTTTACGTTATCACAGAACAGTCGATACAAGTCGAATACATTTTAGATGTATTTCAGAAACTGTTTCGTTTTACGTTGTTGCATAACGTTCGCTGCGTCGAATTTGATCTTTTTGGTTTCGCGAACATGATTCTGATAACTCTGATACATTCAAAAACACTCCAAGTCTAAGCTATTACAACTGCATCAGAAATTTCTTCAAATCTATTTCATTTTATATTATTACATTGAATATAACCACAGTCGAATTGCTAACAACTCTGATAGATCTCATAAACACTCCAATTCTAAAATTGTTGTCTAACGATCAAATTTCTCATTCAAACTCCTATTTGTATTTAATTCCTGAAATTCTACAACTGTGTTTAAGGTCGATCGCCTAGCGTATTTTCGAGTCGCCCTAATGCTCAGCTCGTGTCCAGCGGTCAATTTCGTTGCTGGAGTTCATTATTCGATTTGTGCGTCGTAACATCGACTCGAACCGGGCTCGATTATGGTCATCGACCTCGGGAAAGATTAACGAAGGCAGAGAGTGTATTCACCAGTCGCGTAGAGGTGATACGCGAGTTCGAGTCACCGTGTCGTGTCAAGGATTCCCGGTTGGATGTAAATAGTAGTCGCTCCTTTTCCTCGAATCGCGATCCTCGGGCCCTCGCCACAGTGATTGTTTTTGTGCGCCGAGTTAATACGCGACTCGCGGATTTCTTGGAAACACGGCACCGTTTAAATTACAACGCTCGCTGTAAGTGAAACAACCGACGTCACGTTCACCCTCTGGGCGTTCGCGTTTCTTCGGTTTTTTTTTTTCCTTTTGCCTATCTCTATTTCGCTGGGAAAACAATTCTTAGAACACGAGAACGTGGAACAGATGTAGCTGAGCTTCCGTTTCGCTACAACGCTTTATTTGGGGAGACTGGGGTTTTGATAGGTGGTTGTACAGAACGAGAATAGGGAAAATTTTAGCAAAGATTATATTATATTATATTATAAATAATATTTGAATCTTATTTTCTCTGAGAATTAAGTGTTCTTGTCAAAGTCAATTTAAGAGTCAATTTAAAACATATAAGTAGTAGAGTACCGCCTCGTCTCGTATTTAAAAAGAATGTATAAACTAGTTTAAATCGCAATTAATTTACTTCTCTCCACCAATTCGTATCTCTATACCTAAATAATCGAGCCACGATATATACAATCGCCTTACGAGCGCCAATGGAGTTACACCGGCGTCTCGTATCCGCGTTTCGGTTTTTTTCCACCCCCCCCCCCGAATTTTCATTTTTCGCGAAAGCGTGTATCTCTCTCTTTGAATCGAGCCGGGCGGTGAAATATGCATACCGATATATTGTTATGCATACCGTGTCGAGTGAATTTGCATCGGATATCGTCGGGCAAATAGAGACCGATCATTCGCCGACGGGTAACAGGAACGGTAAATATCGTAAGGGTCTCATTACACGTCGACTGAACGTTTATAACTGCAGCGAATGTCAAAAAGGCTCTCTGGAGAGAATCCAACGAAGGAACGAATAAAAGGAACGCGACCATGCTCGTCTGTGCTCGTACGGTTAGTCACGGTAAAAATCGCGTTGGAGGGCGCACTGTAGGATACGGAGGATAAGGTTTTTGGTCGAAGAATCGGTTACTGTATAACACAGGTATCAGAAAAAAGCAAACGGTAGTATAAATAGGTCCAAATATAGGTGCTTCTAGTAGGTGATTCTTTTAGAAAGATTGAAAGTCACGTTACATTATTATTAATAAAGCATATTTTGTGAAACGTTTGAAAGGAATAGAAACTACAGAATTTGAATGCTTTATAATGACAATATCGTTCTGTTCCGTATCATAGGTAGGGTTCATTTAAAATCACACTTTTTAAAGATTGTTTAGTGTGTCTGATACTAACATCGAGCTACACGAACAGAAAAAATAAACAAGTAAATTCATAGCAGTCATAACAAAAAAAAAGCATCGAACTAACGATCGGAGTAACGATCAAAATTCTTACCCCAACGATCACTCCGAGCCAACATTTTCCGCATGTTCTCCAACTGGTGGACAAGCGTCCACTTTTTGCTGTCGTGCAGTACTCGATACGTTCACCTTGACACGACACCCCAGCCCGTATTTCGTTTCATCGGAGTTTCGGTCGTGTTTCGGGGCACTTGACCCGAGTGGCTTCGCGTTGTCCGCAGAAGAGAACAAGTGTTTCACGTGAGACGTTAGTGTTTCCACGCGTATTCATTTTGCAGAATCGTTTCGAAAAGGGGCAAGTGTCGGATTCAGTGCGCGTTCGACGTTCGAGGGGTCCTCTGCCCTGAGCCAATCGATCCCTCGATCGGGACAAGTTCGGTTCGACTGTGAAATGCGAAAGTGAACACTGTCTCGTGGCAAGCGGGTGCATGTACATCGCAGGACGATGGCCGAACTTCGTGTTTGCCGGTTTCTCGTGATCCTCGCTTATTTGGCGGTCGTCTTGGTGCTGGGGCAGAACCCCGTCGAGGAGAAGACCACCTTCGAAGCTGCCTTTCAAGGTAAGTCGACTGCATTCGTTTAAGGTAGTTGTTCCGTGGATGTATTCAATGGAGATAAATATAAATCATACGAGCCTGTTTTCATTCAAATTGGCCATCTCAGTTTTATAATAAATGTATAATTTATAAGAAAGTGTAACGCCACTAGAACAAATATCTGTATTGTCCAAAATACTATCACGGAAGGACATAACTTTGTCATACGCGGAACGAATCAGGTAAATTTGAAGACCGAGTCACATGTAATATTCATTTGTGCTCGTGTCTCACAGTTTTCAGCTCATCGAATTGGAAGTAAAAGCGGATAACGAGAGAAAATAATTAGCATATACGTTCCCGATGCAGAAATGATACATTAGTAACACGTTGCACTTACTGCTGCTGCATATGCAATCCATTCATTAATAATTTACATCGAACGGAGATATTATCGTCGTTACATCCCGTTCCAGATGATTATTAGTGCGAGCATTTAAGTACAATAAGTATAGTCGCGGAACGCATTCGTATCGATTTTATTGGGTTTTTATCGGTCTGCAATGAGACAGTTAGACGGCATCGAGGATTTTTCACTCGGGGATGTAAAAGAATTTATTTTAATATTTATTTATTTTAAAACGTCAAAGAAAATAGGTTTGGATAGGTGTAGAAATATTAACGTGTTAATATCCTAGCCTAAGTAAACCGTCTTCGAAAAAAACATGTACAACACGCAAAATATCGACCATCCCCTAGAGTAGTCATCTTCTCGTACAACTGTTGATTAACCTACTAATTCCGTCCCCTGGATTTATTTCCACGTCCATTATCGAGCCATTCGTCATCGCGGAATTCCCAATCGGTAACATTTTTATAACGAACGCACCACCGTATCCATCCTAATCGAAACTTAATTAACGGCCGCATATTTGCGGACCGTTTCATCCGATTGGCGAATGAATCGTTATTGACAGAGTCGTCGGAATGCATTAGTAAATTTTCGAAATTATTTTGAATACGCGAACGCGTGCGTGCGAGAAAGAGAGAGATTTCCCAGCTGCGAGAGGGAAAGAGAGATGGAAAGCACAAATAGTTGTGTACCGGAAAAGTGTTTGCATTCGTCCCGAAATCGCTCGCATTTTCGTACAGGATTTTATCACACCGAGGCACTGCTTATCGATGACGACCGCGATCGATCGATATCTCTCCCGGTTTACTCATTAATACGCGCCATTTGTCACCGAATAAAAAAATACGCGCCTCCCACGCAATCACGGGCATCGTCTCTCATATCGTCGATTACGTGACAAATTTCCACGCTTTTTCGTCGTTATTCCACGGATGGGCGAGATTAGTTTCGTTATACCGGGTGGAGTCATTCGAAGTACATCGTTTGGGTAGCTTTGGTAAGAGGAAAGAATGCGTTGGATCATTTTTGAAAAATAAAAGAACAGAGCTAGGAAGAATTGAATTCACGTTACAATTGATTTACGAATTATGTTAGGTCTACATTTTAGAAATAATTTTTCAAAATATCGAACGTCCAAAATTTAGGCTTAACGTAGTTTGCCGTTGATCAGTATTATTCAGAGTGGCGCAAAAAGGAGTCATTCCGGCATCGCGACGTCGTTAAAAGCTCGAATACAACGCGCAAAGTACCAGACCGTGAAACCGCGTTACAGAAAACGTGCTTGATTATAGAATCGCGCTTAGAAACGGGCGGAATGAGTGTATCGGGAAGAACCGAGAGAGAAAAAAAAAAATAGGAAAACCGGAGGTTGGCTCGACAATTTTTGCGGGCTTTTTTCCTCTCGCCCTCTACGACGACGAAAAATAAAATTCCAGCACGCTCGCAATACGAAACTGCGCCCACGGCGTCGTCCATAAGTATGAAATCACTACCTTTAAACTTCATTTCGTTGGGAATTTCTTCGCTTACAATGCGAGGATATTTCCATATTGTATGCATTCCTCCATATCCTTTTACACACATCCGAGACGGTAGTATATTATTTCTGAATACACGGTGTTTCGTTGCGAGTTATAAATTGCTTGGGAAATACATTGAGCTGGAAAAACTGAATATGCAGTGAAAAAGCTTCTCTATCCGAGCATTCGTTACGCGTACGTTTTATCGCCGGGACGGTGTACTAATCGAACGTTCTGTTATTGAAAATATATCCCGAAGACGCGAGAAAATTCGTAATTAATTAAATCGAGCGAGTTGAATTAAATTTTACAGGAATATTTTCTTATGTATTTGCAAGATATTTAGGTGATGCGTTACATAGATTCGAAAGATCGTTAAAATAAGGGTCAGCCTGATGTCCGTGTAAAATAAAAAAATAACAAACTATCGAGAAGAAATAAAAATTGTTAAGACATATCTCGAAGAGCCGGTCCCGCATAACGTTTGAAAAATAATAATTAAATCGAGGTCAGGTAAACGTTGTCGGTCCCTGCGAAATAATCGACTTGACGAACTCTGTGCGACATGGTGACCATCGTAGGTCGGAAATGTTTCCAGGATGGAAGCTACCGGTCGCTAACCAGCTCAGTACGCATCCGTGGCGTCTAAAGGGCAGTAACTGACCGTGATATTAATTGCTTTCTGGCTATTAGCGAATGGTACCTCCGAGATGTCGCAAAGGGAGTGGCAACCCTGCACGGCCGTTTGCCATTAACATTAACGCGACGCAATACGCCGCTTTGCTCGTTTCGGGGCGCACAGGACCGCGTACAAGCGCGAGCGGTTTAAATCACCCTAGCTATTGTTTATCGCCTCGACCATACGCTCGCCATTCGTTCGCTGAAAGTTAAACGCGCCTGCCACACTCCGGCTTGGTTCTCGCGTATTTCGGGCCTTTGTGTACCTTTCTGTCCGTCAATCCTGCGCTAGCATCCTAACCTTTTCTCGAGGACGTCGCGAAACGAGTCTAAAGATGTTTGCGAGATGTCTGGTCCTCGGACGTTTCGAAACGTGAGCAAAGAAAGCTGCCGCTGCGTTGCTGCTTTGCGAATACTTTAGTGGGAACGTTACTGATGGGAGTTTTTTTTCTGAAATTTTATTACTTATACGCGATTCAAGGGTAGTTGATCCGAGAGTTGATCTGAATATTCTAAATTGAAGCTAATTGTCAGAAATGATTACTAACTGACATAAAGGATCGTGGCATTAAATTTTCAAGATTTATTTATTTTTAAAAAAAAAAAAAAGGTCTGTGTGTATATTAAAAGTGACACTCGCTCTTAACGATTGTAACATATTTTGTCCCTGAAGCGAGCTGGGTGTTGAAATGATCACATACGAGAAGTGTATGCCAGGAATGTTGCCGTTTGAAGTTTTGCATATGAGACTGAGTGTCACGGCATTGGGTCAAGAGGTGCGCTGTTTCATACAGATCTCTTGCCAGAAAGCATCGCCATCCTTGCTTCGTAGTCAGGTCCTTAGCTACCCCTTATTTCACGATTTCGAGGTGATGACGTAAGGTCCATATTGTACGTATCGTACATATTGTACACTTATATCAAGACTTTTTCAAAAATTCCTACCTCCAAAGAGTCTTCCTCCGATGATATCTCCCTCTTCCTCTAAAGTTTAAGTGGCTCTGGTTACACACAATCGAATCACAAGTGCCAAGGAAGAATTCATTGTCCCCCGCTCTGTTAAATTTCCACAAAAGAATTATATTCAACGCGACTGCCTCGCTTCCTCGTCTCAGATAAGCCAACTCGCGTTCGCCATCGCGGAACAATGCTCGTTTTCACTGGGAAGAACAAGCTTTATCGAAAAGCCTTGGAATTTACGAGTTCTGGGCGCAACGTTGCCAGTCGAGGGTTAAAATGCACGACAAAACACGAAATCGTCGGGCGTCAGCGTTAATTCCCTCTCCAACCCTCTTCGCGGTTCTGGACGGTGAATTTCGTCGGGCGTAATTCTTGGAGGGAACAATAGGCGGGGGAAGAAAACGGATTAACGATCGATCGATTTAGTCCCGCGGCAAACAGAGGTGAATTATGTATTTTCAAGTGCGAAAGGCGAGACGTGCCTTCCGCCAAACGAACGAATTTCGTTCGTTCCGCCTTCTTGTTTGCTCGGAGGTTTTCCTAGCTCCTGTCTCTCTTTCTCTCTCTCTCTCTTTCTCTCTCTCTCTCTGCTCGCCTTCCTCGTTTTCCTTCTCGCGAGAAAAACAAAAAGACAACACGCCACGATTCTTTACCCTTGCTTATTTTCTGTCCCTTCGACGTGAGAGGGTTGGAGAGGGTTCGACGGGAGTGTTCCACGTCGAACATGATACCGCCGTGAAGCAATCATCGGTTCGCAAATGCACTCGAGAAGGGTTCCATCGATGCTGCCGATAAAATCTCTCGTGAGAACGGATCGAAGCCGCGCGACAAAGATGCTACGACAGCGTCGGAACCAGTCGACTTGCAGGGAATTTTATATATGTGCCACGCTCCATTTCGAAGGACCACGCTGGAGCGTCGAGAAGGATCTTGATTAACTGGTAAATGGGAATTCGAAAGGGGGATTATTAGGTTTGGACGAGACGAAGGGTGGAGATTTAAGAGTTGGAATTAGGGAATCACTCTTATAATTTTTGTGTATTTTTGTCGTATAGCAACACAAATAATGTTAGATTCCGATTTATTTCAAGTTCGGTTTCTAATACAATTCGGTACTTAGAAACTAGATTACCGCTACGTTCCTACTTCTGTTGTATTATGTTACGAAAAAGCTCGCGAGAGCAGTTTTGGTGTGCCTTTTAAAGGTTTGTGTTTTTGGATTCAGAAGGGTGGTGGAAATAATGGGAAGGACCAATGAGAATCGTAGGATGTTAAAGAGTCGGGCGTGTTATTCGGAGTTAGCGAGTAAGGGTACAAGTGTCGGATGCTTAGTTGGTGTATGGACGGATGACTAGGTTTGAAACTTAAAGATATTTACTTATCCCACGAAGATAAAACTACTAACTAACCTAAAGTAGTGAAGATTAGATGGTACAGTACAGGAGGTACAGATTAACCTAAACGATATCCAACAATAATGATTGACTAAAGTCGCCCCCCTTCGAATTGTGTGTTTTAAAAGTTACTTGCTTCACGTGTATTTTTATCGGATGCCAATGCCTCTGGCAGGAGGTAGGAATTTTAGAAAACGCGAAGAATTTTTCTCTGAAGGATAAATACGACAACCAGACTTTCGTGTTTACGAGTCGTTCTGGCACCATGAGAAATCGTATCGATTCGCGTTGATACGAATGCAGAGAATTTGCATCTGCACGATGTTGCGTGTCGGCTTTGGAATTGTATTAATTGCTCTTTATCCACCGTTAGCATTTAAACCAAATTTCATACTGCAAGATGGAAATTCTTCCCTGTCAGAGCTTGAAAAGATTATAATTTCCATGTCAGTCACGATAATAATACAATTCCGTATCCCTCAACGTTTCACTTCTTCATTTTAATTTATTTCATTCTATTTCGTATTCCTATATACTTCCCGCGTTTTTTTTATATTTTATTTTCGCCCTGTATTAGATTTTTTCTTTTGCGTAACTCACAGAGCCTTTTCTTATGCGAGGCCATGAGAATCTATAGTTAGTGCTAGAGATGGGTAAAATTCTATTCGTAAAATAAATGGCGAATAAAATCATCGTACTTCACAGTTTAAATTCTAACTTTCATTCAACGAGTAATGCACGATCAGTGATTCATTTTTTATTCGTCATTCGAAGGCGTGATCTAGATAGGGATTTTCTGATCCCTGGGGGCGGGGATGGGGGTGGAAAAACTATCCTCGCGAAATCTCTCTTTCAAGATTGATGAGGAAGGGTGGATTCGGATTCATGTTTAGAAGGCACGAAGGTAACGCGCAAATAATCGCTGTTCCTTTAGAAAGATCCATTTAGCGGCGTTCGTGCCTACGGGTGCTGTACGATTCTTTATGCGCGTTTCGCGTTATGAACGGCACGGGTGAATAATGGAATAGATCGTTCCTGGAGAATTTAAATTGAGTTTGGTCGATGACACCGTTTCGCGTTCTTCGTCAGGTGTAATCACGAGGCATTATGGTCGGGGGAGTTATTCGACCTTAACCTCCTCGTGTCTGCATCTAGACGGTGTGAATATGATTTTTTTTTCTAGTGCGCGAGTATAGAATGTCCCGAATTCCAAGTACTCGTAGTATTCCGAGTTCCAAGTATCTAAGTATTACATACTTTAAGTACCGAGAACCCATAGTTCCCACGCGCTCCAATATCTTCAGTATCGAATGCCTCGAGTACATTAGATTGCCTGGAGCACAGAATATCGAATACCAAAAATTGGATAACCAATACGGATTCGAATCGAAAAAGGTTTCAGGAAATATTCCATCGAACGGAAGACGTACGAGCAGTTGATGACGGTGCATTACAATAATTTGCTTCGATCGTAAAACTGTGCGCGTGATTAATGTCTCTATTCAATTGTTTAACGCATCGTCTCGGTTTGTTTGGGTCTATTTACGATTTAACGTTGATTAATGGACGCCGCGAGGCGATACGCCGGGTGCACGTATGGCACGTATTGCAGAAATACCTATTAATCTTACTAAAGACTGCCTATTGTGTCGTATATACCGCACGTTAAGGCATAAACTTAATACTTTGACGCATTTAGTATGGTAACGTTTGTTCGGGGCATACGCGTCTCCCCAATTCGACATTGCGTGCAGCTTTGGCCGTAGCGAATCAAAGGGGGAGCGTAGGTCGAACTTAAGGCAAGTGTACACAGTTTGCACAGTTCATACACAATGCACCGTCGATTTCCAAGCTTGTACATAGTCCACAAATAGCATATATGCCTTCTGATTGGCTGATTCGCGCACCACCTACGTACTCCGAATCAATTCGGTTATCGCGTTTTGTCGAGCGTGGAAACTGACATATTAATTCCACCCGTCGATTCAATCTTTGTACCTGTACTCTACGTCTGTGAAATAAAAACAGTCCAATCGAGAAATTCGTGCCTCTAACTGAGTTTTGGTTTGGCGAATTTCAAACTCTAAAACAAATATAAATACACGTCTTCCAAAGACTGTTCGAAATTCTGTTAAAGTTGAAAATATTCAGAATTTATTCGCAAGTAGCCACCTATCCACAAAATAATCGAAGCTGGTCCCTTTCGAATAATCATTTTTAACCGACTTCGAAAAGGAGGAGGTTACTCAATTTGACATGTATATTTCTTTTTTCCTACTACAAGGGTAAGCCTGTCCCGTAAAATCCCATTTTCACGAATCCCATCGACGCTACGGTGTTCGGAAGCGAGGCGACACAGCGCTAAGTAAAACCTCCATAAAGAGCGAGGCGTCGTTAGCGTTGCGCTTCGCTTTTTGTTTTATTTTTAGGCAACGCAAAAGCGTTGTAGCGGATTCATTTGATATTGTACACCACGGGCAGCTACACAGCTCGCTTCTGGACAAAGGAATAGTCCATCGGTATACAATCAATTCCGTAACGATCGAACCAGCGGCAAACGATCCCGTTGTTCGGCCGCTCCCGCGTACGTTTGCTATCCGAAGATAAATAATTCGCCAAGAAAAAAAATATTGCCAATGCCGCTATTCAATTGATACGATTACAATCAACGATGGGACTCCGATGTTTTCAGATACCATCGGCATCTGAATTTATTCTCCCCTACCTGGAATCATACTCCATTCGATTCATTGAGTAGAATAATTGCGAGTGGTTTGAGACGTAAAAATTGGATTCCCAATGGAGAGGCAATTATACTAATCGGTGCTACCGAAACAGTATCTTTCCATGAATTTACTTAGATAAGTAACAGTTTTCATTTCAACATTTGGAATTAATTCTGAAGTCGAAAATTGAGTATTCAAAAGGGACCGGATTTGAATATTTTCTGGATGGTCGAGTACTATGGATAAATTTTAGAATATTTGAGTATACGAATCGTTTTAAGGGGTAACGCCACTCTAGAGACTGAAAAAAGGCCTTTTTTGAATATTTTTTGGTTCTTGATAAACTTCGAATATTTCAGTATTTTATTTCAGAGGTAGTAATTGAATACCACGAATAACGTTCGGACTACGCGAATGTTCGATTACTGTCATATGTAAATATTTTTGTTTATTTAAATTGCGAACTGAAGCTCGAAACACGATGTTCCAAATGAAAATACGCTCCTAAAGTTAGGCTACACTTTCCATAATTAACTCCCAAATGTGATTCACGTGTTTCTGGATGAAATTTTTAGACCGACATTTGGGTTCTCGGAATTGGATTGAACCGAAATATAACTAATGAACGATGATTCTAAATTGTAATGAACAAGATTCGCTTTATTCCTCGGCGAATAATTAGATTAATCTTCGATAAAGATAGAATACCATCTCACAATATTTCGTACGAAACAACCGTTTAGACGAATATAGATGAAAAGCTTAAATTAGCAAAGGCGTTAAGCTCTTCGGTATTTTCTTACATTTTTGGTCCGGCGATCTTGAGAAAATATATTCCAAGCGCTTTTTTTTCTACGGAAATATTTAATCTAAAGAGCTCTTGGTACAGTGTAGTCTAAGTTACGGTTACGTTGGAGAACGAACGTAATTGTGTAAGAAAATGTATGTGTGCTCTCGTGTTACGGAGAAAGCTCGGTATTCGAGGAAAGTTGAGAGTCAGCCGTGAAAGGGTAAGCTCGTGAGATATGAAACAATGAAAGAAACTTACAGCCAGCTTCCGTAATTACATTTAATTTATTGCCATCTCCTTTTTTCTTTTTACACAAATTACCGTTGCCGTCGTTCCTCTTCGATTTCGCGAACCCAAACACCGTTCGGCCGACACGTCTTCGACGTTTTCCGAACGAATTTTCAAATAAACGCGGAACTCGAAAGCGCAAAAATAGAACGTTTAAATCGTTTAGCGCAACAAAATATGAATCAGGATATTCGTGTAGCGTCGACGGAAATGGACAATATTTCCTCGGGCTGGTACGTCGAAACGATTTCAGAAACTTGTGTTTGCGAAAATTTCCCTCCGGAATTGCGGCTAGTTCTCTTTTGTTTCCGCGATGTAACGTTGCGCTAAAGTTCGCGGAAGTCGTTTACTATATATGCGTTCCTTTTGCGGGGAAGAGCGTGAAACACAGTGATCGTTACGCTTTAATGGGGAAACCGCCTTCGTGGTTTAAAAAAATTGGTATCCACGTTGCGCTCTGTTTATTGTTTACCGTACTGCTTGGCATTAAAGCAGAGGTTGGAATATTAACGGAGATACAATATTTAAAAATTTATTTTGATTTATTTTGATTTATTTCATTAATTTTAGTTGGTATTATTGATATCTTTACAGTCAGTTCGTAGAATTCCAAGTGTTCGCAGATGGTCTGTGGCTTTGCAGGTGAACTTCTTAGATTGGGGGTGAATTTATCGACTCTGAAAGAACGAATCTCTCGACAGCCCGAATGGCTCGGTTGGTTAGGGCAGCGGTGGCCGAAAGATACGAGCCCAGAACTCTGGTTCGGCAATCTGATTGGCCCATTCCTTGTACCCTCCCCCCTCCCCTCCCCCCGCAGCTATGACTCGCTACCAACTTCGGACGTTGAACTGATAACACTAATTTCAAAGTTTAGATAACACAGCACAAAGCCAACTCTCGTCCGAACCGAACTTTATCGATACCTTCTGAAAATGGGCACATCTTTTAACACGTTCGCGCTGGAACCTCCCCGTTTGGCCAAACTGCAACATTTTTTATCTTCCATAAAAATAGGAAATATAAGGTGAAATACACAGCAACTATCCATCGCGACACTCACAAAAAAATGGTCCATCGTTAAGTGCCACAAATACCATCCATGGGATCACTATTCGCATATAAAACTGCGCCTAAAACCACAGTTTCCACCACGACTGTTTCCGTGTCCCTACAATTCGTCAAAAATGGCCCTTGCGCCATTACTCTTCTCCCAGGTTGAACGTGGACATTTCGTAGAGTGTCTTTCAATTCCATGAAAAAGCGTTCGCTGCTATCTCGCGCCAGCTTTTCTCCATCCTCGAAGCTCTCTGTCTCCGGCGTCAGCATTCCCTTTTTCCCGTTTCCACGGCAATAAACCTCGCGCTCCGATGGCGACGGTAGTAGGACCCCGAGCCCCTTTTCCCGTCGTTCTTTCCTATTTTTTTTTTCGTTCCCCCATTTCATTTTCGCCGCGGCGACAGCCCCCGCCTCCGCTACCCCTCTCAGGCGGCCTGGAAAAATGAGTCTAAATAAGTAAATAAACAGAGGACGCGAAATAAGCGACCTACGGGTGACGTTTTGAGGTAATAAACGTCCCGTTCCCAGTTCGCAGACCCGCGAGGACAGTTTCCTTATTCCGTGGATGTCGCGCGTCTCGCCAAAGGGGGCAATATCGGTGATGCTTAGCCTTCGCGATATACCCAGTGGCAGGAGACGCGCTTTATATCTGTCGTATTACAGCTTTCAGAATGTCAGATGGTGTAATGACGCAAACATTGTGGAAATATTGGCAATAATTTAGGAATAATTGCGTGAATGATTTTTCGTTGAAATTGTTGCGTAGAATATATTCGAACTACTTTTGTTGCGTTACTGGCAATGCTTGGTTGGAATAATTTTCTTGCAGTAGTATGTACCATCTGATCAAATTTCACCCGGACTGGTCCATTTAATTCGCTCGCGTAAATGGAATCGACGAGAAACTTCTGTGGAAAGTCTTGAACTATGCCATTTTGCGAAAATACACGTACACGGTTGTTGAATCCGAGTTTTCCTTTGACTGGAAATTTCGTTTGAATTTTGGTCAATTTTCAATCCGTGTTCGCTAATCACGCGGGATTTCGATTAGAGAAAAACGGCACGCGTCGAAAAATGGGACGGCGGTTTCCATCCGTATTTTTATTGAAATAAATGTTGCGTCGCACCACATAATAATTCTAATTGGGCGGTTCGCCGCGATGCGCGGTTGTACGCGGTATTCAGTCGATCACGAGTAATAAATGGGCTGGGAACGTAAAAACGGAACTGGACAGATGCCCTGATACACGTTGCAGTCCGAACGCGGATAATCAATTCGTTGGTAGGGCAAGCTTTTTCGTCGCTGTACGCCTTTTTCAGAGTAACGCGCAAATGGGTTACCAACGATTCTTCTTCCGACGTGATATCGATACGAGTGGGAATGCTACGATGTCGATTCGATTGGGAATAGGATGTCTCCATTTTAGAATGGGATATTACATTGGCAGGATCGATCCATAGATCTCTCGTCGTGCCATATTGAAATGTTTCCATTGGAAGGAATTAGGAGGGTTTGGAGGTCTGCTGTAAATACAAAATTTGGATGAAAAATAAGTTTAGTTTGAAAGATAGAAATTAAAAACTTTTAGGAGATTTTTTACGACGTTTAGTTTCCGAAATAAAAATTGAAAACTTAGAAGACCATTTTCCCGTAATTGTATATTTGCAACGAACTTCTAACCTTTCGATTTTTATTTGAAACCCTTCGCAGTCAAAGAGCTAACGAATGAAACTCTACAATCGAATAAAATGTTTCGTTTACGTGGAATAGTTTACACGAATCGATTTAACCCTCGTTTGGTTGATTAAACATTAACTAAAAAAATGTAAAAATTGTATTACCACGATCAGTACAATATACGTTTCATTCCTTGCTCCAAATATGCCTCTTGGAAAGATAAATTGGGGCACAGTACAAAATTGTACAAAGTTGACAGGTGAGATACGGCTGGAATTCTTTCTCGAGGAAATGGTTAATAGAAATTCTTTACATTTTACACTCATATCCGTGTCTTCGCAAGAGCACGAGCTACACGTTCTCCTTTAGCAGCCAAAATTACGTTTCAGAATTTCAATATTCCGGTCCAAATTCATTTTTCGCGAAATTTCTAGTTACGCTCCGAATTGAATTTTAAATTATCGAGACATTGTCATTCCAAGATTCCATAAATAGTTACTCGGACAGAATTCGTGCTCGAGTTTCCATATTTAATTACAGATTATTGTAACTCAATATTCAGTACCAAAAATAGAGTCAGGCAATATGTTCCTTCGTTGGAATTGTTAATGGACGTGGCATTTGGGCAGGTTTAAATGAATATTCGGTAATTGGAGGGTACTAAAAATACTTGAGAGACATGGACATATTTATTCTGTCTTCTATCGCACTTTATGCACTCTCGTTTCCTCCAAGGTCGTTTAATTACACATTTACAGTACGGGCTCAACGATCCCGAGGTAACCGAGTTGTAAGAGGAGAACCAGTGGGCTCCAGCAGACATCTAAAGGAACGTAATGTAAGAAATTAAAGATTAATGAAAACGAATTTTGAATCACACTTAACATAACTCTGTCACTATTGTACGTATACCAAAATAGTACAACGCGAGAGTAAAAAGAATTCCACGTACCTGTAAATTAAATAATCGAACATGATTCTATCGCGACCAACAGCGCCACCAATCACACTTTTTGCATTTCCCCCCCTGACAATTACCGATGCAATCGTCTTATCAGGCGAGATGGGCGAATTCCAGCTCGTCGTGGCAATCGTTATCGGTTCTCGTCGGAGGGAAAGGGTAATTCGAAGACAAGAAACCGTACTTTGCTCAGCGACCATCCCCTTCGGGCCGAAGTATCCCCCTTCGTTCCCCTTTTTCCTTGCTGGCGAGGAGGGAGAGATCGATCGATCGGCGCAAGAAGCTAATGATGACCCCACGAGTCGATGACCGACTTCATTTCTCATTCGCGTCGGTAGGAAACGAGTCTCGTCGGAAGTTCTCTAACTCGATCGGACGAAACTAATAGAAACTCGATGCGTTTCGCGGATAAAGAGCCACGCCGATTTCTCCGGGGAGCAATGAACCGTGCTGTACAGACAGAATCTGATATTTCGCCATTGGTTACACCAGGACGTTTGCGTTACCCCTTTTCCTGCCCGTTAACATTTCGAGCTTGCGATACAGTTGAAAAGGATCAAACAACTACTTTCAGAGAATATACGGTGGGTGTAGAATGTATTCGTACACCGATCAATTTCCCAATAAAATCTTTTTGTCGCACTTTCGACAAGCTGCGACAAGCCAAAGGCCTCGTAGGCGCGCGACGTTACCGCGGTTTATTGCCTTATCCCAGCACGAGAGGGTTTCGGATTCGAGTTCTGGGATCGTCTTCCAAGCGACATATCCGAAATTCGCATCTTCCGCACCGAGGATTGTCTGGCTTTGTGTTTGTTGTAATTGAACACTGGCCAGTCGCGCAGAATGCGTGTGGGTCCAGTGAAATACAATCAGGGATTGGGGAAAAGGGTATTCGATTGACAAGTGACGAATAAAATTAATTTAAAGGAATTACTCACAGATATCGTACACTGGATAAAACCAAAATTAATGCTCGAATTATTCTTTAAATCAAACCGTGTTCGTTTGAAATATGATACGATATTTATTTCAAGCATACCAAGAAACGTGCTCGCATTTGTGCATTCTATGTATTCCACCGGCTAATTGAAGGAGTACGAATTAAACGAGAGTTTCTCATCTCGCGCACAGGCCAGAAGCTCCGAGAAGCTCGATATTAAATACAGAGACTCCGGTTGTGCGATTTCTAACCAAGAATTTATACACGTGTTTCTAACTGGTAGTTTCCAATTAACAGTTCCGGAACTGGATACAAGTCCGAAGCTTCTGATTCTCAATTAATCTTAATTACCAACGAGACGTTTAAGATCGAAACTAATATTTCCCTTTCAATTTGGAGCGTTACCAAAAATGATCGATGATCACAAGTCGAATGTTGGAATATACAAATAAGTGAAATCTAGCCTTGGAGGATTTTCTGGGTAGTTTGTTGTATAGGGGAGGAGCGATATGGTAGCATGGCTCGTAAAAGGAATGTCATTCAGTGTATTCGAAACGCTAGGTGTAGACGTATCTGCTTTAAGCGTTCCATAAAAATCCAATGACTGCTTTAAACGTGGAAAGACCGCTCTTAAGAAACGTTATTTGCTTACATCGGTCCAATAAAAGGGTAACGGTTAACAGCGAAGCTGCAAACGAGCTGTTTTACTGTTGGTCTTGAGATCCGTTTGAAGGAAGTAACCTGAAAACGTGATTCGAATTACTCTGCTGAATCCGTTAATAGGTTTAATGATGATACTTTGACAGAATATCCACCACATTTCCATAAAAATTAACGTGTCCATGTTGAATATATCGTAAGCTTCGCGAGCTATTATTTCTTAAACACCAAAAATTCCCACTATTTATTCGAGAGCTCAACGTTTCAGTCCTCCTATATTAAACACCCATTATATTTGATGAAGCCTGGAGATCACAAGCTCGGGAGATCTGGTTCACTATATTCCTCGGGTTTGGAGCACAGAGGGGATTTATTTGGCCAATGAAAGGCCTTGAATTGGAGAGTTTGACGAGAACTGGTCGCTCCTGGGACCGATAGGAAAACTAGCAATCCGTCTGGTCGGTTGTCGGATCCTCCAGGCGGATCTTGGGGGGATTAATTGAAAAAGAAGATGATGGACCTCGAGGGGCGACGTCAGTTGTAAAAAAGTTACCTCGGCCACGGTCGAATAATGCGGCTCAATCGACCGGGGAGGGCAATTAATTACTGTAGTCTTAGCGTTATTGCGAATTCTTATTCCGTTATTGAACTCGATTTTTCTGCCGGTCCATTCTCTCGAGGATAATTCCCTTTTATCTTGCTCTCTTTTTATCTATCCCAGCGCTCTGCTACGAAGGGATTGAAGAATCTTCATTAACGATGATGTTAACTTTTGCTGGCGCTTTTCTTTTTCGTCGGAAAACATTGGCCAACTCTTGCCAAACGAAATTATTGTAGGAGGGGTTTAGATGTTTCGTTGCGCTTTCAATCTTAATATCTTGCTTAATATTCGCGTTTAATGTATCGAGAAATCAGGGAAAGTATATTAATTAGCAGACTGTAGATTTTATGCGCAACAATATGGAAAACAAACAAAAAATATACGTAATGTATTGTATTTTGAATATATCGTACGCGCACACCTTTTGTTTAGCATGTATTTATCATATTATTTTACATCGTAAATGGATAAAGTTCGGAGTCTACTAATTACTGTCTATTCGAAAGGGCTGAAACACAAGCTTGGAATATTTTTTTCATCGCATCTCTCACGTAACCACAGAAGAAACAAAAGATCACAGGTAACATGGATCATCGAAATGATAATTTTCATTTTCCACAAGCCCGACGGGCTTTGAATGGCGCCGGTTCGGTTCCATTTTCCTCTTTTTCGCCGGCGGAAATTTCCACTCGCGTGACGTTTCGATTAGCACGAGCGAACCCTCCCGAAACTCTAACTGAAGAAACGAAACTCCCGAATTTCCCCGTTAATTAACATCCAAAAGCAGTCACAAAGAACTCAAACGAATCGCGAGAGCGCACTCGATGGATCGAGAAATTTTTCAGTGTTCGTTCGACCGTGTTTCTGTTTAAGAATAATCTCGGAGAACGACGAGAGGTTGGCTCGCTCAATGGGCGTTAATTTCCTATACCCTCCACACCCCCTCTTCTCCTCCTCTCTCCCTTTCGTATTTCGAACGGTCTTTAAACATCGTGGTCCGATTCGTTCGTTAATTGATTCCTCGTTGAAAGCACGAGCGTATCGTGTACGGCGATAATGAATACCCATCGCCACGGGCCATATTTATCGTAAACATAATATCATACGGGGCGTATTTTAATAATCATAACTCAACGATGTGTAACGTTGCGCGCGACTTGTTCGAAGATACGTACTCGTGTTTCGGGTCGTAAATTATTTGAACAATGATCGATAACTTTTGTTATTCAAATAAAATTATCATTCCAGGGATGGAACGATAAGAGTTATTTGAAATATTTAAACATGGTAAGAGTTAATTTATTCCTTTAAAAGGGATTTAATATCGAAAGACAAACACTGTTTCGCGTTTAATGTTGCTTAATGGAGAAGGTAGAATAAAAATGAGGCTGAAGCATGTTCTACACGACGAGCGTAGACGAGGACCATCGTCGAATAGATCGTGCATGTGAACGTGATTACTACTCGCGTTTTGCTTTAAACGCACCGATAAAATCGATGGCAGCCTGGCTAATTGCGGTTAGTGTACCAGCTTTCGATCCATAAAGGCTGTAGATTTGACCCCATGAAGTCAAATTTACGCTGATCGGAATAATGAAGGGCTGGCGAGCTCGGATGATTTTATTTCTCGACGACGTACTTCAATTTTTTAACGCAATTTATTAATCTCCCGCACAGGGACAATATTCATGGTGTTTTTTCTCTGTTAAACAAACAATAGAAAAATCGCGTGAAGACTTTCTTGTGTCTGGTAGTAGTTACTTTTAGTCGACGAGATTAAATACTGATCAACCTTTGAATAATAACTGAACTTAGTAATATTTAAGTATCACTGGTACTTTTAATGGTTCGTAAACTCACAAAAAATTCTTCGAAAATATTATACCTGGCATTTCAGACTTTAAGCTACCTAGTTAGAAATGCTGAACTAATTGTGAGTTAGTAAAGTTACTCGGTTACTTAACATTTTTAGTTTGGAGTGGCTCGAGAATTTTTTTGAATATTCAGAAGGTATAGCAAGATGTGGTTACGCCATGCATTAACTTAATCGGTATAGTATCTCCGTTCCTTTTAATTTGCGTCTTCCTCTTCACCAGGGACAGTTTCTCCCCCTTGAAACGGGTAAACTTTCTAATTTAATCTCGCCATAACTATCTAACGCGCGCGTACTCGCGATAAATATGAATTAAAATATGCAATAAGCTTCCATCTTGGCGCGGTGATCATGCAAGTCTCGCGCTCGTAACATATCACGCCGCTCGTTAAGAACCACTGACCTACAGCAAGGAATTCGCCTACTTCGTCGTATTAACCCATTTCATGCCATCCAGGCATAGTTCACGTCGTAAACTGTGCATGGGAAATTTTCTTCTGTCGAAAATAAGTCTTACTAGCTTTCGCTGCAGACTTATATCTTCACAGTTCTCATTTAAAAATTCCCGAAGGTCTTCGACACCTTCTATAGTACCATTTTCACATTTTCAAACACCTGCTCACATTTATATTCCCAAAAACCACCCGCGATTAAATTGTTCCAATCCCCTCCTTCGACTCGTGGACTGACCAGACACTATTTCCCTAGGAAGGCCTCCAATTAAACCACTCGAGAGCCCAGCTCTTTATTCGGCTGAAATCGAATCAAAGGAAGCGGCACTCGGTTCGCAATCGAGTGTCTAATTGCGATTCATTCTGTAATTCGTCAACTTCGCGGAAGCTCAGTGTAATTGATCACCGGGCGATGTTCGAATCCCGTGCTAATCGCGGCAGTCGTTTGTCCTAGCTCGGTTCTCTTTCTCCGCGAACGACTGAACGGTTATAATTAGAGAGATATTTAATGAAACTCGACGGAAGTCGATCGCGCAGCCGACCCACGAAAACGATTTTTAATTAGTCGGCGTGTTGAAACGCGGCTCGCTTAATTTTGTCCTCCACTTAACATCAAAATTGAGTGCCGACCCGTACTTCCCAGCGTCAGTTGGGTCGCTCATTAAGAGGAACCAGATTGACACTGTGTTGTCATCTGTGCAACATTCGGAACCTCTTCTGTCCACGGTCTCGCCTGGCCACGTACTCGCCGATTAAACCGTCCGCCCTGGGTTACTGCCTGATAAAATGGCGGGAGAAATAGCCAATCTTGCAAGAACACTTTATGACCGACGTTTAATGGACGGAGAAGCCCTTTCTTAGAGGGTCGGAGAGATAGTTGGAATAAAGATGGGGAATTTATGGGTAATATCAATTGGAGATGTGCTTTGGTAGGAGAATTTTTCGGGCAAGGTGTCGGTGTGAGACTTTCTATGCGTACAATTAAATAAAATACGTCACCGATGGGAGAAATTCAAATTACTACTAGGCAGTGAAGACCACTTATTTCTTAATTTCTATGGAGCACTTTTATATTTTCTGTTAAATTAGGGTTTATCCAAATTTTTGTAAAGTGCCATCGGTATAATTATATACCCTGAAAATAAACAGTTTCCTTTAACGAGACTTGCAAGATGGGGAAGGTTGAGAGATACTGATCTAAATGATGTCCCTGGGGTGGTTGATGCGACTGGAACAAGTAATTAGTGAGAAAAAAGTGGCCCCTATTTACTAGCACGCAGAAAGTAGAATAAGTAAACCCTAGTCAGCCGCGAGGAGGACAGGTTTAAGTAGTACGAGTCGACGCATGGTCAGACATCAAAGAGTACGTAGAGTACGTAGCATGACGAAAGATGTGCAAAGACGTAAAACGTGATCACCTGTACAAGGTCGTGATTCTCATTATACGTAACAATTAATTCGCAAACTTTATTATATTGGTAATATTCTTCGACCAAAATCTCACGTCCGCGATAGTTTTATTAACCGAGATGATAGAATATCTCATTCGAAACCGAGGTTTGAATATTTTCAACTCTATTCCGGCCTTTTGAAAATGCCTCCGTTGGTTTCACGAGTTCACCCCCACGTAAAATCGCGAGATCTACCCTGAATAGATTCAACCGTCCGTCAACGGGAAATCGTTTCAACCATTAGCGTCGGGTAATTAGTCGTTGCGACCCCTTACGCCGCGGAAGAATAAACGCCTACGGATTAATCGCGTGACAGGAGGCGAGGGGGGCAGGTGGTCGGGTCAGGAAGGACGCGAAGCAAGAGGAGGTTGATGCGTAGGCGGGGATGGCGGAGTTGCAGCGTGGTTAACGATATAACAGCCGAGCAAGTTTATAATGGGATACAGTGAGCTATAGGATGGCAATGTTGGGTGGCCACCTACGGCTCGTGGCTAGCACAGCTAACAAATGAGACTCTGGGAGGTGATGCAAGTACTTTCCAATAGTTTGCTTCAGCTAAGAGGCAAATAGCAGGGGGGGGGGGTGAGGGAGGGGATTAATGCGCCCTCCTAGCCGCGTTTTAAGTACGAAAGCCAATCAAAGTATTACGCTCTTTTCTGAACAGACTTACTGTTCCTCGATTACACGGTTATAGCGGTGAATGACATTTTTCTTTATTAAAGACGCTTTTGTTTATTAAAGAAAGCTCCTGTTACGAGCCAGAAGGAAACGATAAGACATAACAATATTATGTCGTTGATAAACCAACGGTGCTTCTCGGATTCCGACAATGGAAACGGTGAGATACCTTCAAGCATGAAACGGAGGATGGGGCTCGAATAAAGGGGCGGGAAAAATAAAACAAGGAAGCCGGAGGGGATGTCCAAGTCTTGCAGGAGATTGCTTTCGCTCGCGAAGCGACCCGAAACGAGGACGCGGAACAGACGTTGACTTCCCGATGGCTGGGGGGGCGGGGGTGGGTGGGGAGGTGGGGTGGGTGGGGAGGTTGAAAGAAAAGACAGGAAAAATTCGAACGGGGCAAAAAGAGCGAAGATTTCTGCGGGGACGTAAGCGCGAAGTGCCTGGCCGAGAGAGAGTGAATGAAATTGGAAAATGTAGGCGACCGAGATTGACGGCCGTGTAGGGGGTGAGGGGTGGACAATGCGCGTTTGTCTAAGCGTTTCTGGATGTCCTCCTTCTCGCCCGAAGCCGGGCTCTGGTTCCATTTTTAAAATTAGAAACGGGCTCATCGGCGTCGACGAGCCTTCTCGAGCCTTTCTTTCCCCGTGACAACGAGAGAAATTATCTGTTAACAAAAGTCTGCATGCGGAACTCGTTGAAAAGATCGCTTGTGAATGGAATTGAGATTTTGGGGAAGTTTGCTTTTTTATCGGTGGATGTTTCGTTTCGGGGATGCAGGGGGTTTGATAGTGATGTTGGATTTAGTTAGGGGTAACGTTTGTTTATTTAGGGTATCTTTAAACGAAAATGGCACGGTTTATAATCCAATTTACTTCCCAAAATCGAATGCCTACGATCGTAGCATCGAAGTTGAAGTAACTGTTGGAAAT